TCCCCACTCACGTCCATAACTGATGATTATATTGATAATTTAGCCTCGTTAGTCCCCAGCTCTGTGTCCTCCCAGTCTCATCCAGGATGCTCCAAGCCAGGTTTATGCCACTTGTGTTTTCCAGGATACATCAACGAGCTGGAACCAAGAGCCTGAGGCTGATTTTTTGTTGGCTGCAGAAAAACAACCCAGGGTGATGCTCCCTGATAGAGAGCTTCAGCCAGAAATCCAGATTTAAAGTCCAGGAGTGGGGATCTGAAGGATGAAATGTCTTGAAAGCCAATTTCAGATCTCTCCAGACAAGGTCTAAAGGGAATTGCTGAGATGGGGGAGAGGATGACAAACAAGGTTGCTCTGAGATTTGTAGCCATTTAATGGAAGACAGAAGCTGAACCAAAAAATAAATTTAAGAAAGTGGAAGGCTGAAATATTGTGCAAAAATAAGACAACAACGAGCAGCTGATCCCACATTTATCCCAGTTCTGGGATAATCCAATACCCCACAGGGACTTTCCTTCCTCCCCTCCCAGCCCAGGTGTCTTTTCCTCTCTTTCCATCACAAACCAAACCCCTCTCAGCAGTGGCAGCTTTTTGGCAGCCCTTTCACCTTTGCTTCCAATTTTCCAGAGATGCTGCAGGGCCTCCCACGGCTCCTGGCTGGCCCCAGCCCCTGCATCCCTTCCTTGGGAGGAACATTATTCCAGCAGAATTGCTGGGAGCCTCACCCAGAGCAATTCCTGGTGCTCTCTGGTACTCTCTTCCTCAAGTTCAGGGAATAAATGGTAGGAAAAAGGCAATATTTGAACACCAGCATTTTATTTTGGATATTCCAACATGCTAACCTTGGTGGCAGCGCAGTTAATTTGTCTCCTTGCTGATATAGTGGAAGAAAAATAAGGTTTCTTCTTATTTTATACAAGGTAAAAAATTTCCCTTTATTCCTCAGTGCTTAAACCAAATCCTGGCTGATTTCCACTATGTTAATGAAGCATTTTGATTATTTAGGAATAAACCTTAAATCATTTTTTAAATTATATTGATATATTCCTGTAAATAGTGACCTCAAAGACATCATCAAAGACTATTATTAATATAATAAATTAATGAAAACATAGTAAGAAAAGTCAGGAGAGAAGAAATCAGGAGATGGAATTGTGCAAATCCACCCCATGGGCAGGGATCCATAAAAATGCTGCTCACACCCTTCTCTTCCAAGGAGTTCCAAAGTTTTCCAAGGAATTGTTGCAATCATTTTGCAGATCAGTGCAGCTTCACATTTCTCAAGCCCAGCTCCCACGAAATCATGATGCTTTATCCCATTTCCCTCTTCCAGACCAAAGGCACAAACAAATCCCTGTTTCCATCTGAATACTGGCTGCAAAGTGACTGAGGAAAACACCTGGATTTTATTCTTTATATTCCATAATTTGCTTTAATTCCAATTTATCCATCCCAGAGGAGGGAGACAACACTGGCAACACATGGCTGGATCCTGAGTGGAGTCCGTGGACTGATCCTGCACGTCCTGGAAGTTTCTGGAATCTTTTTGGAGCCCAAAGCAGCTGAGGGATGAAGCAGCAGAGATGGGGAATGGAAATGCAGAAGGGTCTCAGGGTTTGTGGGATGCATGAGGTCAGGCCCATGGAAAATCCCAAATATCAGCAGCACCTCCTGCCAACCCTGCTGCCAAGTCACCCTGCCAGCAGCCCGTTGTTTTAAATGAAATGTTTCATTGAAATGTTTAAATGTTTCATTGAGAACGTTTTTAAAGCAGCAGCAGGGAAGCACTGCAGCTGCAGCAGCGCTGACAATCATTTGCAGTGGCTTCACCTCGAATTTCCCTGGCTGCTGCTGAGCACAGCTCAGAGCTTTGACCTGGGAGCCAAACCTTGATCTCACCCTGCTGGCACTTTATGGTTTCTTTATCCCACCCTACATCCTAATTCCAACAACATATTTAAAAAAATTATTAGTAATTACACTCAATTTGTTTAAAAAAACCCCAAAAATGAGGCTTTTCAACCTTTCCTTCTTTTTCTTTAAATCTATTAAATCATGTTAAAAAATATTCAATTTCCACTAAATTTAAAAAATAATATTTTAAATCCTAATATGTAATCTAATAGATAAATAAATAAAAATAAATAATACTAAGATAATAAATAATAATAAATACATAATATAATAAATTAAAATAGAAATAATATATGAAAATAAATAAAAATAAACAGTAAATAAAAATAATAAATAAACAAACAAATCTAAATAAATCCTAATATTTAATTCATCCTAATATTTAATCTAATAAACTTCCTTTATATAATCTGCAACTTATCTAAAATAAAAACTAAAATATCCAAAGGATGTTCTCAGGACAACATCCCAGAATCCCAGGATGGTTTGGGTTGGGAAGGACCTTAAATCCCACTCAGTGCCACCCCTGCCAGGGACAGGGACACTTCCACTGTCCCAGGTGTCCAGCCTGGCCTTGGGCACTGCCAGGGGCAGCCACAGCTGCTCTGGGCACCCTCACAGGGAAGAATTCCTCCCTAATCTCTGCTCCTTCCATAAGATTATTTTTTTTTCCCCATGTAAGAATGTGTTTGCAACATCAAAGAATTGATGTGCGTAAAAAGTTTGCATTTTAAAACTTCCCTTTTGTATTTTTGGCTTAAAGGAAACTGATTTAAACAGAAGGGAAATACTCATGCAAGATTTAAAAACGAGGGGTAATTTTATGTAGCAAAGGATTGCAGCTCTCTCTGCTGCCCCCCTGGTTCATGACAAATAATCTGATTTTTCTCTTGGGTTGCTGTGCAGGGCTGAGTCAGGGGCAGTGGGGGCAGAGTTGAGAAGGTGTTGATCAGGAAATATTTTCTCTGAGTCAGAGGAAGCCAATCTCTTCTCCTTTCTCTCTCAAGATGAGGTGTGTCCTGCCAAACTGCAGCTTTAATTCCAGGGTTTATGATGTTTTTACATGTAGCTGTGAGGAAAAAAAAAAAGACAAAAAAAGACAAGGAATCAGACCTACTACAGCTGGGCAGAGAATGAACCTCAAGGTGACAAGCAAGACAAAAGCAAATTATGATCTCATTTCCAGAGCAATTCCCTGAGCCACAGGAGAGTTTCAATGATTTGAGCCGTAACAATTTGAGCTGAGTCACCAAAAACTAGACATAATCGAGTCAGATTGCAAGGAAGGAACTCCAGGCTATTCACATGCCCTGATTCTCTGCTATTCAGGATTTTTAAAGGGCTGCATGCTCAATTCAAAAGCATTGAAGGAGCTGAAAAAGAATTCCTGGGAAGTTTTTACCAAGACAAATATCAGTTCTTAAATATTGAATTTTTTAAGCCATATTTCAGAGGGAACATGTGGCACTGCTGATGGCAGAAGGGCAGGCTTCAGCTCAGTTTATTAGAAAACATGGATTATAAAGTCTTGGACTATGTCCTGTGGAGAATGGAACTGTTGGATTAATGAACCTGGAGAGGTGGATCAGCCAAACAGAGCCTCCCCATATTGCTGGGGTTAAACTTTAACTGGGTGCTGGGCAGAAAGTGAGGCAGGTTTTTTATTATTTTATACAGGGTAAGAAATTTCCCTTTATTCCTCAGAGCTTCAATCAATCCTGGCTGATTTCCACTACGTTAATGAAGCACTTAGATGATTTAGGAATAAAACTTAATTTAAAAAAAATTCTATTTAAATATTCTTATAAATAATGACCTCAAAAATATCATCAAATCTCAAGCAGTTTGAAAAATAAAATAAAAGTCACAAGACTACAGAAATAAAATCCATGGATTTCAAATCTAATTACTGCTTAAAAGTTTGGGATCAAAAAATCTTAAAACCAGAAAAATCTCAGCTCAGTAACACTCATTTCAGAATAAGTATTCTCCCAGGTATTTACTCCTCCTGAGAAATTCCTGGCTATTTCAAACCCATAAAAAATTCAGGAATCTCTCCCTGTCATCACAGGACACAGCAGGGAAGCTTCAGGACAAGAACTCCACAGATTGTGCCCTAAAGGTTAATTCAAAAGCTCTGGATGATCCAGGAGCAGGGCTTCAGCATAAAGTGGGATAATGACATTACAATTAATAGAAATAAAAGCTAATGGAATCTCTGTTACTCTACACTGACAATAAATTATTAATTTATGTTCCAGGTTTCAGGCCAAAATGATGAGGACTTAGTTTATCTGAAATTCTTTGAATTTGGCTCCAGTCTTTTCATTAAGCAATGAAGGTTCTATTTGAAACTGTGTTTTCTGGTCACTGTTTAGGTCAGCTGAGGATCAAAAAAATGAATATATTCCCTTGGTTTCTAGTTCAGAACAGATTTTTTCCAGAATTTCTCCCTGTACATATCCATTGCTTCCCTGAAATGAAGCCCTGCTCCAGGTATTTGTTTCCTCTCTGAAAAGGGCAAAAAGCAAAAGGGAAGGAACTATTCTCTAAAAATATATGGAATTTAATTAGGAATCAGAGGTATTTCCTAGAAAATGACCTATTGACAGTAGACAGAACCTCCTCACCTCACCAAAAGCCAAGACCAACACGATGTTTTCTGACCTTTAAAGAATTTAAGAGGTTTCCCAAAGAGGTGGTTGGGTAGCTGCTTAGGCAATTTGAAGGGAGAAGGAACATTTTACAACTTTATCATAACACATTAGAGAGAGATTAGATAGAGATTGGCAGATTCCAGCCTGGCTGTCAGGATTTGAAGAGGAAGAAGCAGGGATTTCAGAACTGTCCAGGAGGAGCTGGGAACGTGCCAGAGCCAGGCTCTGGATGAACCCAGAGCTGGGATCTGGGAAGCGACGCTTTGGCAAGCAGCATAAATCACCCATGGACAATTCCAGCGGCCTTTGCCAGGCTGCTTTGGTTGTCACCATGGCAACACCTTTTCCCCAGGGCAAAGTTCAATTATTTTACATTTTTATTGCCACTGCTGTTTGCTTAAAGTTTACCAGAGCGACTTGGTGCTCGGACAGCGCCAAGGAGGAATCACCCCCATGGTACACGGGACTAAAGGGAACCAAATCTTCTGAACTGGGGGAAAAATCTGGGGAAAGATGCCGTCCAGGAAGAAAACCTCCATGTTTGCCTCTTCCTTTTGTACCTGTGTGTGCTCCTTCGTGGTGATCTGCGTGGTGCTGGCCACCCAGCAGTGGGTGAGCAGCGAGGTGCGGTTCTCGCGCACCGGCTCCACCGTCACCGTCAGCCTCACCTACGGCCTCTTCAGTGGCACCTGCCAGCAGTTCGTGGATGCAGGGCTCCAGGTGTCCAAAACCAACTTCCAAGGTAAGTGATGGCACAGCTGGAAGTGGATCAGAGCATCCCCGACTGGTTTGGGTTTGGAGAGAGCTTAAATCCCATCCATTCCCACTCCTGCCATGGCAGGGACACCTCCCACTGTGCCAGGCTGCTCCAGCCTGGCCTTGGACACATCCAGGGGGATCCAGGGGCAGCCACAGCTGCTCTGGGCACCCTGTGCCAGTCCTTACATCTAATTTAAATCCATATCTCATATTTCAAAATTACTTAAACTGTTGTAAGGTGGATACATCCCTCAGCGGCACGAGTAAGATCTCAGGTTTGGATTGGATACTGGGAAGGAATTGGACTGGCCTTGGACAGTTCCAGGGATCCAGGAGCAGCCACAACCTCCCCTGGAAACCCATTCCAGGGCATCACCATCCTCACAGGGAGGAATTCCTTCCCAGTATCCAACCCAAGCCCAAGATCTTCTTACTCGTACCACTGATGGTACAATATTTGAAGTGAGAACAAGAATTTAAATGGGTGATTTAAGTGGTATAAAATAAGACCCCCAAAAAATCATAGAAATTCAACAATAACAACTTACCACCAGTGATCTTGGCCTGCACCTTGGAATAAGGGGAAAAAAACACAAAATGGGAATTTTCTGTCAAATTGACTTTGATTTTTGGAAGTTCAGTGAGGAACAGAAAAGCAACACTCATCCCTTAATTAAGGGATTCACAAACCTAATTCACCTTCCAATTTCATGATGTTAATTTATTGTTTTGACTTGAAACATTTTGCTACCTCCTACTGAATTAGCACTGTTTTGATAAAGGTTTGAAGGCTGCTGTAGGAAAAAGAATAAAGCACACAAAACAACACCCAAGGGCAAATAAACCTGAAAGCTACTGCAAGGATCAAGGGTTTGCACTTACTTTATCTGCCTTGCTGCCTTATCATGTTCAGAGCAATAATGCTGGTTACACACAGGAAAGGGAGAAAAGCCACTCAAAAAAAAAAAGCTACCAAGAATATGAGCAGGTCAAGTAATTTAAAATATGAGATATGGATTTAAATGAGATATAAAGACTTGCACAGGGTGCCCAGAGCAGCTGGGGCTGCCCCTGGATCCCTGGCAGTGCCCAAGGCCAGGCTGGACACTGGGGCTGGAGCACCTGGGACAGGGGAAGGTGTCCCTGCCATGGCAGGGGTGGCTCTGGATGTTCTCTAAAGTCCCTTCCCACCCAAACCAATCTGGGATTTTATGATTCTTTAGGAAATAATTTCATTTTTTGGTAGGCTGTTGTGAGATGTCCCAGCACAGCAGATCCAAACCTCCAGCCTAATAAATTATCCTCTTCCCCAGCCTAATTTATTCCTGAAATTGCACCTGAATTCCCACGGTGGCAGAGCTGTGTTGCTCAAACCAGTCCCCACGTTTGACTGGATTCCATTTCATTCCTGTTCTCACGAAACCCTGAGCACAGCAGCATTCCCAGCAAGAGGTGGAGCATGGATCGCTATTGTTACGTAACAAGTACAAAATCCCAAGTCATTCCATCTTCTTTTATTACAGCCACAGCAGAATGAGGAAAGTTATTTTTAGAAGAGTAAAAAATAATAAATAAATAAAATCTTTTCTATGTGGTTGCAGTTGGCTGAGGCCCCAAACCTTGAGCTGTGTGGGCAGCTCTGGCTGATCTCAGCTGGGCTCTGTGGGAAAGGTGGAATCCTGCCCCGGGGAGCTGATGGCAGAGGAGGTTCCAGGCTGGCTGCAGTCCAGGGATTGTGCCCTGCCTTTGTCTAAAGCAGCTCCCACAGCCCAGTGCCAGGGCCTGGGTGTTGCCACCAGATCGATTTTAATTAAAATTAATGAAATGAACTCACAACACTCTGGTATCAGTGAAGGGTTTCAGTTTTCTGCCTGGTCTGCATTGGTGGTGTTGGGTTTTCCCTCACCAGATTTGGAGTTTTGTGCTTATTGTTTATCAAATGCTGAGAGAATATTCACAGAAAGGATCTCAACTCTCCCCATCAGTTATTTAGGGATGAACAAAATGAGTGAGCTTCTGGATTTGTGAGTTTCCTTCCACAGCAGCTGCTGGAAAGTGATGCTTTATCAATAATCTAATCTGGGTTTTCCCATATCCCTCACTGGTTCTGTTGGGCAGGTATCCAGAATGAGAAGAACTGACTTGAAATGAATTCCTAGGCTCTGGAATAAGAATTATTATCATGTTTTGTATTAATTGCTAAAGAAATCCTTCCCTGGGAGGGTGCTGGGCTGGCACAGGGTGCCCAGAGCAGCTGGGGCTGCCCCTGGATCCCTGGCAGTGCCCAAGGCCAGGCTGGACACTGGGGCTGGAGCACCTGGGACAGGGGAAGGTGTCCCTGCCATGGCAGGGATGGCACTGGATGCTCCTTAAAGTCCCTTCCCCCCCAAACCAGTCTGTTCATTCATTCTATTACATTTATAATTGAAATAGGAAAAATGCTTCCTAGGATTCCTTACGTTCTCTCTTCATATCCAAAATCATTTATATTCCTGTCCTCCTAAGAGAGAAGATGCATTTCCTTAGCTGGTATCCTTAAATAAATGGTTTTCCAATGCTATGGAGGAACAAAGTGCTGGGATTTCTCTATTCCAGCATTTCAGACATCAACAAGAGGAGTTCTAAACATCCCTTAAAATCACAGCACGATTTAAAAGCAGCTGTGCCCTGCCTGGGGGCTCTGCTGTGCACCCCACATGCATTTCTCAACTGGCATTGTCATATTTGGGTGTGGGAAAAGAAGGACAGTCCCTGAAGGGTAAATCAAAGTCAAGCAGATCATCAACAGCCTTTATTAAAAAAAAAAAAACCAAACCAAAAAAAAAAAAAAAACCAAAAAAAAAAACAAAAAAAAACCCCAAAAAAAAAACCAAAAAAAAACCAAAACAACTTATTTCTCTAGAAACCACAACATTCAAAGAAATTTCCAAGCATAAAGATGAAAGACAAAGGAATGTCATTTCTGGCAGTGCCCTGTGCATGGAGTGCCCAGCCAGGCTGGCTCTTTCCCAGCCTTAATAGAGCAATAAATCACTGCAGCCACTCCTCAGGCTCTGGGGATGGCAGAATGCAAAAGTTATTTAATAACCAGACTCCTCAGAGCCTTCCTGAGCTGTTTGAATGATTTGTCTTACAGAGGAACCAGCTAGGAGTAAAATGTCTGTCAGAGGAGGTTTGGGCACAGCTTTGACTGGTCCAAGGCAAACACGTAGAGGTTGAGCCAGGCTCAGGAAGAACCACGCCCAGGGAGTCTGGAATGTCAGGATTTATCCAACTGCTGGCAGCCAGCAAGGCCAGCAACACCCAAGGAAGGCTTTCCAAATTTACCACAGCACAGAGCAATCATTTCACTTTCTAACTTAAATATATTCTAAAATACATGACAAAACTTAAATATATTCTAAAATACATTAAAAAAGCTTGGAAACTGCTGGAATTAATTTGTATTCTCATGTTTCCAGGGATCTCCTGAAAAATGGGAAGCTCTGTTGAACTCTCTCCTCAGGAGTTTTTGTTTGTTTGGGCTTTTTTCAGTGATTAATCCCTGATGTGTCATGGGTGATTGCAGAGCTGTAAAAGCTGCTGGGAAGGCTGAGTAAACTCAGTGAAAGTCTGGAAAATCCTACCCAAACATGTAAGAATAAAGGATGAAAACCAGAAGAAGATACAGGAAATTAAGGAGAAATCTGACCAAACCCTGTTTTCATTCTAGAATTGTTGTTTCACACAGACCCAGAGGTTATCCAGCTGCAGGATACCACTCAAAATATTTGAGTTTGATCCCACTCAAATAGATCAGCTGCAGGAGATTCCTTCTGTTTGCACAGACTGCTTTATCTGGGGATTTACAAAAGAATCAGCTGCCATGAAAGGAGCATTTTCTTTCCAGCCCTCAGCCCTGTGCTGTTGCAGATAGAGCTATGACAGCTGGAGGCTGCCAAAATGCCACCCCCTAAACTGCAGCTCAGTGGCAGACATAAACAAGATCAATTAGGGGGTGCAAGAGGTGTAGCCAAGCAGTTCTGGAGAAGTTCTGAGAGATAAAATTAAGTGAGGCTGCCAGAGGGAAATTACACAAGCCTGTCTGGTTTGGCTCCAGACTTATTTCTTCTTCAAGAAATAGATCACAGGTGATGGCCAGGCTGCTTCAGCCCGAGAGCAGGGTACAACCTGCTCACTTCCATTCCATTGAGTGATATCCCCTGGATGCCCTGCTTTCCTTTCTTCCAGGAAAATTGCTTAAATTTACAGCTGATTTCCATAACACAGCCTTAGCTGCCAGTGCCTCGAGCAGAAATTAACTTGTACTGCAGTATTAGATAAAATGTGAGAGGAATTCTCCTTTTCATTCCTTGCCAACAGCTCTTTTTATTATGTTTATTCCTCTTTATGGGGTTTTAACTCCTTTTTTTTTTCTGCTGTGATTCCTCTTAGTTATGCACTCACTACCTGAATATTTTGCCATAATGGCTCTGTTCAAGAACAGCACAGAAAGGGAATTTTCCTACTGAAGTCTGTCTCACAACATCTATTTGAACAAAGCTCCAAAACATTGTCACTGTATTTGTTACAACATAAAGCACATTATAGCTGCCTTTTCAATCTTTAAATTGAGAGGAGGAAAATAATTCACCTCAACAAAATAACACTTTGATGGTATTGCATTTGGGGCTGAGTCTCTTGTTACCAGCACCTTAATGAGGAACTGGAAGGATTTAGCAAAAATTGGTGACAGTTGTGACAAGTTTGACCCCAGGAGCCATGGAACTACAGCAGGGAATGATCTGGGAACAAGCTGGGAAAAGGAGAGGGAGCAGGATCTGGGATCAGGGCCACATACTCACAAAGCTCAGCCCTGTGGGAACCAAACCCTCCAGGAACCCCGTCCTGTCCTGGTGGAAAACAGCAGGAGCTGCTCCTTTATTTGAAAAGGAAGGAGCCAGTCCTGCCTGCACCAAGATTTTCCTGCAGGGCACGGAGACAGATCCAGGCAGGAGATGAGCTCAACCATCCTCATCTGCCCATGCATGACCACACTGAGATTTATCTGTCCTGCAAATGCACCTGACCCATCCAGGCAGCAGCTTCAGTGGGCTCTGGGAAGGTTTTCCCTCTCAAATTTATTGCACGTGAGGGACTGCTGCTATTTCTAAAGGAAATACAACTGGAGCAGTGTTTTAAATTGGAGCAGAGCTTTGAATAGGCATTTGTGGAGGTGACCAGACACTGGCAGAGGAACACCCAATTTTCTGATCCAGTTTAGGCAGAAAATTCCTGTCTGGCCTCATTCAGAGGAAATTTTTACAGAAGTATTAAGGAACAGAAGTTTATTACGCAGTTAACTGCAGGATTAGCAGACAAGAATTTATTTCAGCCCAGGTACCTTCAGCCCATGTTGGATTTGGGTTCACTGCTGGGTCCAAACCTCCTGAACTTTCTCCATCCCAATCCCTTCACATCAGCCAAACCTCTGCTCATTAGCTTTTAATTACAGAGGTTTGGCTAGCCCTGGCAAGAGGTCACAAAATTTTCCAAACCCTCCAGACTGGGCAGGGCAGGTTATGACAGAATCATGGAATATTACTGTTGGAAAAGCTCTCCAGGACAATTGAGTCCATGAAGTAATTTACCCCCAGTTTGCTCCCCTCCAGCTCACTTTTATTTGTCCTTTTCAGGCTCTGAGGCTGTAGTGATGCCTGGAGAGGCTGCCTAGAGCAGAGGCTGGACAGAGATAAAGTAATAAAGCAGGGATTTATTAAACAGCCTCAAAGGACACACCTTGGGCAGTGCAAGAGCCTGGCCATGGCTCCACCCAAGAGAGACAATGAGTCACAAGTTTTCGCACTTTTATAAGTTTTGGTCCATCTCCATGTGGGGTTCACTGTCCAATTCCAGCTGCAGGTGATGCAGTCCCACCCTCCCAGGCTGCTCTCCTCAATTCCCTGTTGTTTGCTCTTTTTGGGGCTGAAGCTGCAGCGGTGTCCTTGGTCCTGGGGCTGGAAAAGGATTGTTGTGTGTGCCTGAGCTGTGAGGAGAGCTGCTGACATTTTATATGGAGTTATAAAACTTCATATATACCATACTATATAGTGTGTATGTTTACTATATATAGTATATGTATAGTATATAGCATCTATATATACACTATACTATATATAGTATATATATAGTGTGTATATATATATTTTAATATATACTATAGTATATATACACTATATACACTATATATAGTCTTACTACTGTAGTATGTGGTAAATAGTATATATAGTCTTACTAATACATATATACACTATACTATATATAGTATATATATAGTGTGTATATATATATATATTTTAATATATACTGTAGTATATATATACACTATATATACTATATATAGTCTTACTACTGTAGTATATGGTAAATAGTATATATAGTCTTACATATATATATATATACATACTATATATAGACTGTATATAGTATATAACTATAACAAGTTCAGGGTTATATACTAATGCAGCACAGAATCTGGAAAATATCAAAGCTAAAACTCAAAGCATCATTTGGTGCCCTTGAGTTTCAGGCCTAGAGGAATTGGTTTTTCTGACCAAAACAGGAAGACAGTTAACGACACTTTCTATGGAGTTTAGATTATCCCCTAAAGCACTGCAGGATTTGAAGAACAGAAAAGCCAAAACCCCGAGGCATCACCCTGTCCTCTGCCCCTGCTGTGTTGCAGTGTCAGAGGCCCTGAGCAGCAGCAGCAGCAGGGGCCTGATCGTGGCCACCATCGTGATGCTGGTGCTGGCCCTGCTGAGCTCCCTGCTCAGCGCTGGCTTCACCTGCACCAACGTTGTCAGCAACCCCTACCAGACCTTCCTGGGCCCCATCGGAGTCTACACCTGGAATTCCGTCTGTGGTGAGTGGCATTCTAGTCCTTATATACATTATATATGTGTGTGTATATATATATATATACACACACAATCTATTCCTTATATCCATTATCTATATATATTCTTTATATATCTAAAATATATAATATTTATATATATAATAGATAAAATATATAATTTATATAATTTTATATATTACATAGTATACATTATGTATATTATATGCAATATATTCTATATAATATATACATTCATTATATACTATTATATATTATACATATCTAATATATATAATATTTTAGTTTATTATATAGCATATAGCATATCTATTAGTACATAGTGTATATATTATTATATACAACAGTATAGTATATATAGTATATCGTATACTATTTATACTATAATATAGTATATATACTATATATACACAATATATATAATATGTTATATATGATGCATTATATATTATATCTATAATATAGTATGTATATTATTATATAATATAAAATATGTATAATATATAACATATTATGTATATATTTTTTATATATCTATATAAAATATATATTGTGTCATTAAGGAATACAGAGATGCAAGAAGAAACACCCGGAAAACTCATTCTGCTCTCTGGGTTTGGTTTTTAACTGTGCCTGCTGGCATGGCTGCAAACCACCTTTTAAATATGATTAAAATACATTATATAGCAATAAAATAATATTTATATGATAGTATTTATAGGCAGGCAGCAGTTTGGAGGAGTGAGCCAAGGCAAAAATAATTTAGCTCTTTAAAAAAGTAAAAAAAAAATCACAGGTGAAAATAAGTTTAAACTTATTTAAGCATTAAAAACAGGGTGGAGATGCTGAGTCATTAGAGCTGTGACGGTGTCCCAGAGGCTGGAGGTGGAACCCACATTCCTGCTGAGATTGAGCCTGGCTGCTCCCAGCCCTCCCTGTGCTGCTCTGGCCACCACTCAGCTCTCACACTCAATTAGTCTCCAGAGGATTAGGTGTTCCTCTAAGAATAGGTTTGCACTTGAATAATTTCCTTTTAAGTCATCTGATTACAGAATATCTCAGCAAGGGTATTTTGGCCTTCAAACCCTCTTCAGGTCCAGGGAAAATGTGTCCCCAGCAGCATCCCCCTGTCCAGGGACAAAACCAGACCTTGGTGGGAAGGGAACAGTGCAGATAATCTTAATTACTACAAGTACAGGTGGAGGAGTGAAATTCACACATTTTTAACACAGATGCTGAAACAGCTGTGAAGCACAGTAAGAAAAGTGAACAAAACTTAATTAGTTAATTATTCAATTCTGAGACAAGCAGATCATTGCCTCATCCCACAGGAAGGTTTTTCCTGAGCCCAGTCCCTGAACCTGCAAGCTCTGACTGAAATGAAAGAACCATGGGCTGGCCAAAATTAAAATTGGGTAGAAAACAAATTTTTGTGTTGGCTGAGGGCTGTGGTTACTTTTAGCAGCCCTGCAAGTGCTGTGAGCTGGAAGATCATTTTGCTGTGGGTGCATTTTTATGGGAAATCACGCCTCATTTAATGTGGGAGGTCATCTTGGAGGTGCCTGATTCTCCTACCAGTGCTCTCCTGAATAAAAAATGAAATTGTTTCAGCATGAGCTGGGTTTGGATGAGGTGCCTGGAGAGGAGGAATGGAGCTGTTCCACCAAAGTTCAGAGATTACAGCTCTGTTGGCACGAGGAAAGCAGAGATGCAACAGCAATATTTAGATAAATGTCAGAGCAGCTGAACTTTTACATCTGGGAGGCTGTAAGAAATAAACCCAGATCTAATAAGACATCACATTTTGGCTTCACCCAGACTCTTCCAATAATTCAGGTTGTAAAGAACAGGAGGTCTCCAAGTCTATGCTCTTGGGCCAATCCTGAGCACAGACCAGGCTGCTCAAGGCTTTATCCAGCTGTGACATTTTATCCAGCTGTGGTATCTATCCAGCTGTGATATCTACCCAGCTGTTTTGATTTTATCCAGCTGTGACATTTTATCCAGCTGTGATACCTACCCAGCTGTTTTGATTTTATCCAGCTGTGAGACTGCCCACCCATGAATTTGGGCTCGTATCAAACAGACATTTACAAATCACCAAAGAGGTGAATACACAATACTTGTCAGCACTAAATTAAATGAAAAAAAAGGCTTTATGCAAGAATAATCAGTAAGAATCTAATAATTTTAGATTATATCATTGCCTATATCAAAACACCTATCAGATACTATTGGGTGGGGCAAAAATTCTTCAAATGCCCCCATAGAATTGCTAATATTAGATAAATTGATTAAAATCTCTGGACTAGGACAAGGATTAAAACAGACTATAAATCCCTACACAAATAGTACTACAGTTTCCCCTCTAAAATTCGCATTTCTGTTTCCAGGAATCCTCATCCTCATAGCCATGATCCTTTTCCCTGTGAACGTGGAAGGAAACAGCCTGTCTGAAGAGCTGGCCCACAGCTGTTCCAGCTCCCTGCAGGCACACCTTGGATCCAAACACAACTATGGATACTCCTACTGGATCATGCTGCTCATCCTTTTCCTGAACATTGCTTCTCTCATCATCATCTATTTCTACGACCACGCCAGATATTCCAAGAAGAAAGAGCAGGAAAGACCCATAGAAAATGCACCAAAGGATGTTATTCTGTTTTAAGGACACCGTGGAGAAGGGGGTGTGAAGGGAGATGACTTTAATGCGGACAGCAAATTTCCATTTGCTCTGAACTGTGTGCACACTTCAATTCCCAGATTGTTTTGAGGACACAAAAGCCTGGTTTGGTTTCAGCTGCCTGCCGGCCTGAGCAGGAAGATCAAAGCCAATGTTTTAGTCAAGACTGCAAACACCAGGATCCCTTGGGATGAGGAGAAATGGTCACTGAGGTGCTGCTGCTCCATTTTCTCCTTGCTCTGCTCAGGGATCTCCTGCAGGTCTGGAGGCTCCTGGGCATGGGAGCACTTGTGGCCAAAATCCACAGGACACAGAGGTGGAGTCCCCATCCCTGCAGTCTCCATCCCCAGCCCTGTGGAGGTGGCACCTGGGGACACGAGGCACTGGTGGCCTTGGCAGTGCTGGGGAATGCTGGGACTCCATGGATTTTCCAACCTAAATGATTCAACCATTCCATGACAGCAGAGAAGCCCAGTACCTGCAGGTTATTAATGCACAGAAACGCCAGCAAATCCTGCTTGAGCCCTGCCAAGGGCAAAGCCACACCTGGGCAGGTGAGCCCAGCCCCTCTCCACACGTCCCTGCCTGTACAAAGTCCCCCAGGTGATGATTTCAGAGATGATTTCTGGCCAGGGCCATCCCTTTGCCCAGTCTGAGGAGTATTTATTGTGCTCACAACGACACACAGCTGCAGGATGCCCAGGAGTGGGGAGCTCCCTTCTCACTCCTCCCAGGAATGAGCACTGGGACCTTGGGACAGATCCAAAGTGCAAAATCCTGCTCAGAGCACGTGTTCAGCACTTCTGCCCCTTTGTCCCTCACCTCTGCAGCCAGGAGAGACTTTTTTTATTCCTTTAAAAAGAAAAAAAAGCCTCCTTCTCCTTTCCAGTGTGAATTTCAGTCACACTCCATATCTGTCCTGTGATGCTCATGGAGATAAAACAGCATTTTGAAGGGGGGATGAGGAGATACAAGAGGTGAATCCTCACTATTTATGTCACAAAAATAAAGTCTGGAGATGAAAGCAGCCAGCACTTTGTGCAGCTGAGCTCTTTCAAAGGAAACAAAGCAGAGGGATTTCCCATCCCGCTTAAAAGGGTGCTGAGGGCAGAGTGGGGAATAAAATAAAAATAAAAGAAGGTTTCTGAAACTTGAGGGGTGGCACAGGTCAATAAAACCAGGGCTGATCTTTGCCCTGCATGCCTGGAAGTGCTGGGGAGGGCTGGAAATGCTATGGTGGAGCCAAACATTTGCCAGTTCTGCTTTGGCTGCAAAAGATTTTCAGTTTCAGAGCTCATCTGTCAGTGTTGGGCCCAGGCAGCATCTGTCACACACCACAGCTCTGCTCAGAGGGCCTTGGTGGAGGATGGAGTCAGAATAATGCAGGAGGAGCAAGAATTCCAGCTCTGGAGAGCAGGAGCTTCCCCTTGCCTGGGAGTTTCTGCTGTACCTAAGCACTGGTTTGGGAAATCACATAAACCCTGCTTTTGGATGCCTGCTGGGAGCACGTGGCTCTGTTAAACCTGACTGGAGGTCTCTTGTTTGCCTGCAGACACCACAGAGTCGCTGTGTAACAAATCTCACCTGCTTTGATGTGAGTGCCAGATCAAAGCCAGCACAGCACTACAAAAACCTGATTTAAACAGGAGTTCAAGTTGCAGCTGACTAGCAAAGCTACCTCGGGGTTCTTCCTCTGCAGGTTTTATTTCCATTTGAGGGCAGAAATTCTCTTCCCAGCACAAAGAGCTGCTCAGGGATGGAGCAGGGGGATGGGGCCGAGGAGCACCCACACATCCCTGCCCCAGCCCCATTGATTTGGGGCAATAAACTGCAGAGTACAATATTTGCAGGCAGAATTTTAAATACAGAAAGTTTTCATTCTCACTTTGCTCCAAAAGCAGGCACCCAGGACAAGCTCAAATTCAGAAGTTTTCTGTGAGCTGCTGGTAATTTCTCCTGAATTAGGGACCAACCAACCACAGCAGGAGGGAACACACACAGAGCTGGCATCAAATTTTCATCCTACAATTCCCTCAAACATCTCCCTAAAATTCCTTGCCAGTGCTGGAAGTGGCAGCAGAGCACTGTGTGCAGAGGGGAGTTAGAATTTATAGGGTGCCCCTGGATCCCTGATGTTTACAAATAAAATATATACCATATAAAACCACACACAAACACACACCAATACCACAAATACATACCACATAAACCTTCTGTTAAACTCTAAAAATTCTCTACAAATCCATTTCCCACACCTGGAAGTGTCCCTGAGGCACCCTGGAGCACCCTGGGATGATGGGAGGTCACACCAATACCACAAATACATACCACATAAACCTTCTGTTAAACTCTAAAAATTCTCTACAAATCCATTTCCCACACCTGGAAGTGTCCCTGAGGCACCCTGGGATGATGGGAGGGGTCCCTGCCCCTGGAATTGGGTGAGTTTAGGGCTCCATCCAACCCCAAACCGTTCTGTGATTTATCTGATCCTGGTTTCAGGCTCTCCTGCCTTTCAGCCCCAGCCCAGTCTCCCCCGGGGCAGCCAGAGGAATATTTCTGTCAGACAGCCCTGTAACAGAGACCATGAGCTGTGTCTGAGATGCTGTGCTTGATTGGGAGCATCGATTGTCAATGCCAGCAGGGAGTTGTGAGCAGCAGGAGCTGCTGCCTCTGCAGTGGAGCAGCTCCTGGGGACAGGGATTGCTTTATTGACTCTGGCTAACAGCAAGGCTGCACTGCCTCTTTTTCCCTGTAATTGTGAATTAACCAGCTCTGCATGCTGTCAAGGAGCTGTGCGCGCATTAGAAATTTTTGGATTTGCCTGCCTGCAGCTTTGCAATGTTTTTTTATTAAATGTTTTCAGCTGCTCCTAACTTTAGTTGACTGCTAATTTACCAGGTGTTGAGGATCCTGTGTGGTTTTTTTCCCCCTTTTCCCACTTCCCCCCTTCCTTGAGCCTAGAAGTAGCTGTAATGGGGATGTACAATCCCTTGGTTCCTGGGCAGTTTGAATTCCTGTTGCTCATCCCTGCCCTGGAAAAGGCTCCTGAGCAGCCTTTTCCCTTCAGGACATGGGGAATTCCAGAATTTCTTATTTTGTAATTCAATTTAGAGCAGGAGCTCCCAAATCCAGGCAGTTCCTGATAACTGACTTTGTTATCTCATTATCCAATCCAGCCCTGGACACTTCCAGAATCCTGAATGACCCAATTATCCCAGGGAATTAATGGGATTTCCAGGAATTAAGGAGATTTCTGCTAGAGGAGCAGTGGTGTGGTGCCCAAACCACACCAAAACATCCTCTTGGAAGAGAAGGGACTGAAAAATCAGGAAATCAAATCCCACCAAACAGCATTCCCTGGAATAACCCAGGACATGGAGTCAGCCCAGCCTGTCCTGGCTCTGCTCCTGTGCCTGGAAAGGGAATTTTGCTGGATTCTCGCAGCTCTTTATTCGCATTTTCCTCCCGGCTGTTTGCTCCGGGAGCCATGAGAGGGCAGCAGGCTCCTTCCTAGGATCCCTTGGCTTTGCATTCCTGGTTTATTTTTGATGGAAAGGGGACGGAGAAAAAGGCAGGGAGGGACAGGGGGAACTTCCCTAACTCCACATGGCATGGAATATTCGATTTCACGTCCTTAAGACTACAAAAAGAAAAGGTATTTTCCAAATTAAATTAATTTTTAAGGCTCTGACTGACATCCCAGCTCTGTGGGAAAGAGCACAGGGGGATGGAATGCAGGGGTGGGTTCCTGGGAAAAGTTTTTGGCTCATTCCCAATATTATGTTATATATATAAATAAGAGGAAATTTGCCCCAAAAAAGCCCAGAGAAAAGTGAAAATACAATATTTAAAAAAAACCCCAAAACTTAATCAGAATTGACAAAGTCATTGATTAATGGTCAGAAATATAGATTCCAAAAGAAAATGGGATTTTATACAGCACAGATCTGACAAACAAGGATAAAAATACTGAGTTTTGCAAAGGTAACCAAGGCAACATTCCCTTACATTTCTTGATCAATATGAGTGTGTGCAAAACCATCACCTCAAATAAGAATAGAACTGTATCACCCAAAAAACATTTTATAAACATGATTATTTCTTCCCTGGGTGTAAGAAACAGAATCTATCCGTGGGAGACACCATCAGTTATGTGCTGCCTTTGTTAAATCTCCAAGAAAATAAACCAGAACTCCTCCAAGTGCCCACAAGAAGGAACCTGGGGCTGTCTGAAAGTCAAAAATTCATTTATAAAGGAGGTTTGTCAGCACATAAATTGTTCTTTTCCAGTCCTGGCACTTGGGCTGCAATAGAGGGAAGAAAGCTGAGGATCCATCAGCATCCATCTCCATCTGTCATTCCTGGCTGGATTTTGTTCTCTGATTCCACCTCGGGAGTCACTCATCCCCTCCTCTCCTGCCCTCACAAGCTGGGACTTGCTCAAGTGCCCACACTTCCTGCATTTTGAAATAAACTGGACTGATTTTTCCAGCACTTTGCTGGAAATGAAACTTGGCACAGGTGAGAAAACAAAAAAATGCAATTCAAAGCCACGTTGAAATGGCCACACCAATGAATTTTTAAATGTTATTTTCAGCCTCTTCTCTTACAACTATCACAGAGCTCCCTGCAGATCTGAAATTATACTGGATTTTAATAACACCTCTGGGTTTAATACGAGATAATGAATGAAAGCTGCCCACAGATGGGAAAGGATCCTGCCAGTGAGGGGGAATTCAAATTATTTCTCTGCAGCCAGAGGGTGACTCCTTCTAATCTGGAAAAAACTTCCATTACTGGAAACAAAGGAGAAGGAGCTGCAGCTTCTGGTTAATTCTGGGGGGACTACTCAGCTATTTTTTAATGAAATGCAGGTTGAGGGCAGATTTTGGGCAATTTATTGCACGAGTAAGGCTGATGGGAAAATACAAGATGCAGGAGAGAATCCAAGCCCTTCATCAGAGAGGGAGCAGCAGGTAAACAGAGCCAGGTGTAAGGAAGGACTTGAAAAGGGCAGCACGGTTTGGTTTTCCTCAGAAAGATTTGTAAAGGAGAGCCAGGGAACAGAGCCTTGACCTTTTCTGTAGATAATTCACTTCATCCCTCTTTTCTCTAAGGAAGATGTCATCACTTATTCCCTGAAATGTTCCCTGGCATGGGTTTGCAAGGATAAAGCCCAGAGGTTTACTCCATCATTTATATTGATTTATTACACCTGTCCAAAACAATTTCAAGAGGAATTTTTTTTTTTTCTCTGGGAAGCTCTGAAGTCCCAACCGTGCCCTGGTGAGGTCGCAGGAAGCCTCTGGATCACACAGAAAATACTGAACAGAAAAAATTCCCTGGCAATTCTGAAGCCCAAAAAAGGAGAGACCAACACACTTTTTGTACACAGACCCGTGCCTGAGGTGAATTTTGATGCAAACATGAAAATATATGAAATATGACTTTCATCTGAAAGCCATAAAGCAGCTTGGAGAAGGGTTTAGTTTGGATTTCCCTCTCCTGGAAACCACAAGCAGCTGGAGCTTTTTGTTAGTGTTTATTCATGTTGAGAGCACTCTCATTTCTCATCTGGGGTTGGGAGAAAAGATCCCTCAGATGTGAAAACAGAGGAGAGAAATAATTTCAGTGATTTAATTACAGCTGGAGAAATGAAACCCCTGCATTTTCAACACTTAAAAGTTCATTTTCATGGCACACCAGCCTAAAACCTCCATAAATAAACGTGGGACGATGTGGGAAATGGATTTGCAGAAAATGTTTAAAACTTGATAGAAGGCTCACAAAGTATACGTTTGTATGCAAACTTTGAGATAAGAAATGCTGATTTAGAAATGTTACAGAGTAAGACAGACATTGTTGAGAGAGAAATGGAGCTAGAGACAAGTTTCAAAAATGGCCTTGCAAATAGGACTGGATACTTTGGAGAAATAGAACTGTGAAAGATGAAACCATTGTAGTAGGAGCACGAGGGGTAATTTCAGATGATTGGCTTTAAAGCATTTAAAATAAGGTTGGCAAAAGCTGATAGGCCAAGAAAACCTTATAATGTATTGTAATTAAAAACTAATTAGCTTCTGATTGTGATGGTGTGAATTATAACATCTGTATTGTCTCACCCTTCCCACGAGACTGAAAATGGAATAAAAGTTTTTTAAAAGCCTCTCAGTTACCCCCGTGCCTGGGTCAGAAAAGGGCTTAGTCTGACAGGACACATTTTGGAATAGAAATGTTTAACTGGTGCTTTGTGAGGGGGCTGAGCCTCTTCTCCCCTGGGACAGGGAAGGAATGGGAATTTGCCTGCAGGGATTCTGCTTCCTCCAAACCCTTTTTCAGAGGGCAATATTGAACATCCCTCCCTGGAAGTGCAGCAAATGAGAGGGCTCAGTTTGGCAGAGTCAGGATGGGACAGGGATCTCTTTATCCTCCAAGCAGTAAAAACCTCCCAGCATCCAAAGGTGCTGAAATCCAAGACAGGACCAGATGGGAAGAGTCTCTCCAACAATTAAAAAAGCATCCACTCTCAAAGAAGAGGCTTTAGGGTAAGAAAAAGTTTTAGGGAAAGATAAGGGTTTAGGGCAAGGTGAGAAAATATATTCTGAATAATGTGATAGACCTTACTTAAATTATTATAATTTAAATATTCCCTATGGGTTAATGAATCCTGAATGGCAAACAATTCCAAGGAAATATGTACAACTCCAACAGAGTTGTGTTTCATTGTGTTTTTCCAAAAATTCCAAGTTTAAGGGAGGTAAAATCAGAACTGTTTGGCCTGGAGAGGAGCAGCTCCAGGGAGAGCTCAGAGCCCTGCCAGGACCTGAAGGAGCTCCAGGAGAGCTGGAGAGGGACTGGGGACAAGGCATGGAGGGTTCCAGGAAAGGAACCCTGCTCTTGCACAAATTAGGAGGAAATTTTAGGTACATTTTCCCATTCCTTGAGAATTTTAGGTGCATTTTTGCATTCTTGGAAATTTCAGGTGCACTTTCCCATTCCCTGGAAATTTTAGGTATATTTTCTCTTTCCCTGGGAATTTCAGGTGCAGTTTCCCATTCCCTGCAGGGATCTGTGCAGGCTCCTCCTGATTTGTGCAAGACCAGGGTTCCTTTCCCTGCTCCAAACCCAGCTTTGCAGAGCAGCT